ACACGGACACACACAAACACAGACACATACACAGACACACGGACACACAGAAATACACACGGATACACGGACACACACAGACACACACAAACACACGGACACACAGATATACACACGGACACACACAGACACACACAAACACATACAGGGACACACACAGACACACACACGGGGACATACACAGACACACGGACACACAGACACACATCCCCCATGTCAATGGAGATTAGATAAGCACATACAATATAGTGTCGGTTATTCCATATTAGTCTGTCTCGCAGTCTCACACTTCTATAATATACAAACACACCCACCCTGAACCATATTATATTCCCTACAGCGTAGCCCTCCCTGCAGTGCTAAAGCCCTAAATGAAGCAAGTCTAGATTTCCCCAGGATTTGAATCTCTGGTCTCCCTCGGGCTCCTTTTCAATTTAAATGGGTTTATTTGTTACAATCAAACATTATATATATTCAAGGACTAAGCGTTAGTCTAGTCCCATATATGCATGGTTTATGTATGGTTTGGTGATACAATGGACGTGTTATGAAATCTCTGTTAAAAGTTCAACTGAACTGTACACACATGTTCAGAGGAAATGGAATGTGTAACTTTTACTGCCGTGTTAAAGATACATGAAATGATTCTACATACACATCTTGACATGCTGTATCCCTGCCTTGTTAAACATACATGAAATGATTCTACATACATATCTTGACATGCTGTATCCCTGCCTTGTTAAACATACATGAAATGATTCTACATACATATCTTGACCTGCTGTATCTCTGCCGTGTTAAACATACATGAAATGATTCTACATACATATCTTGACACGCTGTATCCCTGCCTTGTTAAACATACATGAAATGATTCTACATACATATCGTGACATACTGTATCCCTGCCTGTGTTGTTAAACATACATGAAATGATTCTACATACATATCTTGACATGCTGTATCCCTGCCTTGTTAAACATACATGAAATGATTCTACATACATATCTTGACATGCTGTATCCCTGCCTTGTTAAACATACATGAAATGATTCTACATACATATCTTGACATGCTGTATCCCTGCCTTGTTAAACATACATGAAATGATTCTACATACATATCTTGACATGCTGTATCCCTGCCGTGTTAAACATACATGAAATGATTCTACATACATATCTTGACATGCTGTATCCCTGCCTTGTTAAACATACATGAAAATGATTCTACATACATATCTTGACATGCTGTATCCATGCCTTGTTAAACATACATGAAATGATTCTACATACATATCTTGACCTGCTGTATCCCTGCCGTGTTAAACATACATGAAATGATTCTACATACATATCTTGACATGCTGTATCCCTGCCTTGTTAAACATACATGAAATGATTCTACATACATATCTTGACATGCTGTATCCCTGCCTTGTTAAACATACATGAAATGATTCTACATACATATCTTGACCTGCTGTATCCCTGCCTTGTTAAACATACATGAAATGATTCTACATACATATCTTGACATGCTGTATCCCTGCCTTGTTAAACATACATGAAATGATTCTACATACATATCTTGACATGCTGTATCCCTGCCTTGTTAAACATACATGAAATGATTCTACATACATATCTTGACATGCTGTATCCCTGCCTTGTTAAACATACATGAACTGATTCTACATACATATCTTGACATGCTGTATCCCTGCCTTGTTAAACATACATGAAATGATTCTACATACATATCTTGACATGCTGTATCCCTGCCTTGTTAAACATACATGAACTGATTCTACATACATATCTTGACATGCTGTATCCCTGCCTTGTTAAACATACATGAACTGATTCTACATACATATCTTGACCTGCTGTATCCCTGCCTTGTTAAACATACATGAAATGCATGTCGTGTTCTCCTGAAGACGTGACATATACATCTCCTTACCATCAGTTAATAGATAGTTGTAACTACATACACGACATTGTTGTTCGAAAGACATTTACAAGAACAGAACACACTGTGATGCCTTACAGAGGATCATGCATATACGACGTGTTAGCTCCCAGGGGTGGTATATTTCCTATATAGTCGCCCTCCCGTTACACAGCTAAGTTAAGGTGTGTTATTTGTAATTATAAATTTATCATAAATCACCTTATTCCAATATACGTTGTGAAATGATCATGTTCGTATTATTGGTGAGACAGAAGTGCTATTACTCTAGATGTAGCGAACAACTGGGTTGTAGATACCATCACGCGGGAGTGTACTGACAGACAACAGATGGAAGAACATTAGTGTGGAAGAACATGGACATTGAAAAAGCTTTGTCACGAGCTATATTTATCATGGAAACTGGTACACTTTGGCTCCAAAACACACAGGTGAACGATATCAAAATGATTTCTAAGTAGTTTGTAAGTGCAGCTCCTGATGTCGTTCATGCTGCTGTATTAAACATGAGTTTTGTCGGATATGCGTGTGCAGCTGTTGCCTCCTATTACCTTTATCAACACAAGCAAATGTTACAAACTGCATTTACCATGGTACAAGCATTTACAAGACTGTGTGTGTTTAGACAGGGACTGGTGGAGGCGGTGGTGTAGCCTGCATTGCTGCATCAGCTGGGTGGGTGTACAGCATGCTTCCATGGGGGACTGATGTACACGTGGTACTTAGATTATATCAGATAATGTAGCATAGGTAGTCCTATAACTGTGTCAGGACATAGGTAGATATTCGGAAATGATCGAGTGTGGTTACCACTGTTTTGAACACAGTTATACTGGCAGGAAATAAGGGTTCACTCTGTCCTTACACAAAAAGCAGCTGAGTTTGAAAGCAGTGCCAGAAACAGTCCCTTTTCTCCAACAACATTCTCAGCATAAGGTGTTATCCAAATAACTCAGTATTGTGAAGCATGGAAAGGCCTGAGTCATATCTTTCGGGTAGGGTCTTAAAACAAGCATCAAACATATCATTCTTTCCGTTCAGTATCAATTGATGTCCAGAAGGCTTTAAATAGTCTCTATTCATGCTTTTCGTTCAAAACATAATTGAACTGGTCTCATTATTTTGATGGAGTATTCGGTCATTGACACACAAGGCGATATTATAGGGAAATGTAAGGAAACAGTATATTTACATAGTTCAGTGTCGCGTTATCACGTAGACGTTCACTATTTACACTTACAGGTATGTTGAACATATTCCCAATAAATACATCAAGCACTCCCTTATAGCACTTAGTAATCACCAATAAATAGTCATTAGTTTCAACTGTTGAATATACCCCCTTATATAGCACTTAGTAATACACCAATAAATGTTAATAATTAGTTTCAACTGTTGAATATACCCTTTATATAGCAATAAATGTTAATAATTAGTTTCAACTGTTGTAATACACCAATAAATGTTCATAATTAGTTTCAACTGTTGAATATACTTACATAGCACTAAGTAAAACCCCAATAAATGGCCGCCATTAGTTTCAACTGTTGAACGTACTCCCTTTCATAGCACTTAGTAATACACCAATAAATGTTAATAATTAGTTTCAACTGTTGAATATACCCCCTTATATAGCACTTAGTAATACACCAATAAATGTTAATAATTAGTTTCAACTGTTGAATATACCCCCTTATATAGCACTTAGTAATACACCAATAAATGTTAATAATTAGTTTCAACTGTTGAATATACTTACATAGCACTTAGTAAAACCCCAATAAATGGCCGTCATTAGTTTCAACTGTTGAACGTACTCCCTTTCATAGCACTTAGTAATACACCAATAAATGTTAATAATTAGTTTCAACTGTTGAATATACCCCCTTATATAGCACTTAGTAATACACCAATAAATGTTAATAATTAGTTTCAACTGTTGAATATACCCCCTTATATAGCACTTAGTAATACACCAATAAATGTTAACAATTAGTTTCAACTGTTGAATATACTCCCTTTCAACTGTTGAATATACCCCCTTTCATAGCACTTAGTAATACACCAATAAATGTTAATAATTAGTTTCAACTGTTGAATATACCCCCTTACATAGCACTTAGTAATACACCAATAAATGTTAATAATTAGTTTCAACTGTTGAACGTACTCCCTTATATAGCACTTAGTAAAACACCAATAAATGTTAATAATTAGTTTCAACTGTTAGACAGATGGATTAATCACCTTGATTTATCTCTTTGATCTATGATGCGGCACTTGTTTCCTCATAAAATAACGTACATCTGTTTATAATTTTGAAGCTGACCTAATTATTCTCTCATTTTCTGTGTTTGGGTTTATCTAAGTATTTAATCTAATTTTCAAGTATTTTGCATACTTTATTATCCTACCTGTTGAAATTAGAGCATTGAGAATAAGTAGTGACTTGTAAGTCCACACATGTATTCACATGCACCATTAATTAACAATGTTAATTAACAATATGATACAAAAGGATGTGTTTGTAAGTTTTACAGTTACAAAACAACACGCTGATGTGTTTTAATTGTTTGTAAACATTCCAAATCCATAAAATAATCCAGGATCACGTGTTGAGTGTATCGTCCTCCGGCATCACATAGAACTGACACCGCCTCCCATATTAGCATCATGGAGTATTTGAAAACATGCTCATCCGACACACTTTCCTACAGCACATGTCTATCGAAAATAAAACTTCGCCGGAGTTCCTCTTTGTTACATAATGGCGCTGCCATGTGGTTTGAACTTCCTCTACCGTATAGTTGTAAAACAGCCTCGGCGGATCACCCCCTCCCCACGAGCAACTTCCCCGTACGGTCAACACTCTCAGTTTGGCCACGGACCCCTCTTTGATTCTAGGAAACCACCGACGGGATTCCCAGACGCACTAGGACATATGGCAATGCCTTATTTGGCCTCCTGCTAATAGGTGCGCACGATAAGCCCTGACGAGGAGCATATTATAAGAGACAGAGGCCTGTTTCAGCCACACCGTCAGCGCTCGGCAAGCAGCACACACACAGATCTCTCTCCTCTATATAGTTTCGTTAGCTTACACAAACAACAACAGCCATGGATGATGATGTTGCTGCATTGGTCTGTGACAACGGCTCCGGCATGTGTAAAGCCGGCTTTGCCGGAGACGATGCTCCCCGAGCTGTCTTCCCCTCAATTGTCGGCCGCCCAAGACATCAGGTATGGACGTTTTCTTGTTGTATTACACATGTCACGAGGAAGACCTAGTTTCACTTTCTCAAGTTGTTGGGTCAAAGAGTTGAATACCAACTGATGTGGACGCCTTGGTGTTATTCCGCTAACATGGCGAACCATCCAAGTAATAATATACATACTGTAACCCAGCATGTGCTATGTCGTTGCATGGTAACAAATACACACACGATTTATTGATATTGTTTTATGATTGGTAAATGTTGTCGAAGTGTAAAGTTCAAATGTTATGAATCCGGGAACATTTAGTCCTGCCTAAGATGCAGTGATTCAAGCCTAGACTTATATGGTTCGAATGGGGTACCAGCAGTCAGAGTGACTTGATACATAGGGAATACCTATATGCGAAATAATTTAGCATTAATTTCTGACTTCATCAGTATGCCCTGTGCGTGATTTAACCAACAAACGACACATTTTAAGAATATCTACTTCTGAAACACTTCTAAAAGAGGACGCTGCTATTTTTAGATTTTCTCTTAACCTTCTCTCTGAAGATATGCTAGGAGATATTTTGAGACCGAGTTGACGGTTTTCTGCTGAGAGTGTGTTAGGTTTATCTGGCAGTTGCCCCAAGCTAGTTATTGCTGACTGGCGGGATGGGAATCCTGACTGTGCACTCTTGGAACTGCCAGCCCAGTAAGGTGACGGTGGCGGCGGCGGAATTCCACGCTGCTGTGATGGTGCTACCATGTGTATGAGGGGGAGGGAAGGGAGGAGGGGGAGGGGTGTCAGATTACGCACGTGTGGCGTCTCTCTTGGCTGAATTAGCGACCGTCAAATGAGGAACAGGAACGCAAGATAATGCCTTAAATGTACAAGGAAACGCCAGGCGTTAGCGGAATGAGAGAGTGAAGCTTGCCTTTGTTTCCACTGATGATATGCCACTATCTGATAGAGACAACTGATGCACTTGACGAATATTTTGAATGATTTCATAATTAATGTTGATACTTACTGAATTAAATTCTGAGCATTAATCAATATTTAAGCAAATTTAGTCGTTTTGCTAGTTTGTATATGATAGCCGTCAATCTATAAATATATTTACAAACGTACACCCAAATATCATCAATTATATATGAACTAATTCACAGATAGAGTATACATACTTATCCTTGGAAAGCAAAATTGATATTTTTGACTATATGATCCATGTTGCTGCAGTGACATTATAACCAGCTTTAGGTCCAGGGCTACGCTGTGGAAATGCTGTACTTCCTAAGTTGTTCTATTAAGACTAGTATAAAACATAAATGTTACACTTTGAATACATAGTGAGTGTAATTTAATCGTGTTGATCGTCTACAACTCGATTTATGACCTACTACAATGTGTTGATATTGTCGTGTTGACAATAATATCTTGCCCACCACTAACCATCCCCTACACGCCCACACACAACCGATATATTTCTTCATGAGAAATAGAACGTTTTCGAACTTGTAGTAATTTCCTGCTTGTATACATGTTTCACTTTTTCTTCCAGGGCGTGATGGTCGGTATGGGTCAGAAAGACAGCTATGTTGGAGATGAGGCTCAGTCCAAGAGAGGTATCCTCACACTCAAGTACCCCATCGAGCACGGTATCGTCACCAACTGGGACGACATGGAGAAGATCTGGCATCACACCTTCTACAACGAGCTCCGTGTTGCACCCGAGGAGCACCCCGTCCTCCTGACAGAGGCTCCCCTCAACCCCAAGGCCAACCGTGAAAAGATGACCCAGATCATGTTCGAGACCTTCAACTCTCCAGCTATGTATGTGGCCATCCAGGCTGTTCTGTCTCTGTACGCCTCTGGTCGTACCACGGGTATTGTTTTGGACTCTGGTGATGGTGTCACCCACACTGTACCCATCTATGAAGGTTACGCCCTTCCCCACGCCATCATGAGGTTGGATCTTGCCGGTCGTGACCTGACTGATTACCTCATGAAGATCCTCACTGAGCGTGGTTACTCCTTCACCACCACCGCTGAGAGAGAAATCGTCCGAGACATCAAGGAAAAGCTCTGCTACATCGCCCTTGACTTCGAGCAGGAAATGGCTACTGCTGCCTCTTCTTCCTCCCTTGAGAAGAGTTACGAGTTGCCCGACGGTCAAGTCATCACCATCGGAAACGAGAGGTTCCGTTGCCCAGAGTCTCTCTTCCAGCCATCCTTCTTGGGTATGGAATCTGCTGGTATCCACGAAACCACATTCAACTCCATCATGAAGTGCGATGTTGACATCCGTAAGGACCTGTACGCCAACACTGTTCTCTCAGGAGGTACCACCATGTTCCCTGGTATCGCCGACAGAATGCAGAAGGAGATCACATCCCTTGCCCCAAGCACAATGAAGATCAAGATCATCGCTCCCCCAGAGAGGAAATACTCCGTCTGGATCGGTGGCTCCATCCTTGCCTCTCTGTCCACCTTCCAGCAGATGTGGATCAGCAAGCAGGAGTACGACGAGTCCGGCCCATCCATTGTACACAGGAAGTGCTTCTAAATGTGTTTTACGGACTATAATTTCGATAATCCTCATACTATCCTGATTAGGACTATTCTCCGGCTGTTGCAAATTGCCGTCGCTCAATATTGTACATACACCGGTTCCAATATGGGCACTACCAAAAGTGACTTTCCATTCCTCAAAACAAACTGTATATTGTAATTTATTCCTTACAAAAGCGCAATAAATCACAATCAACTCGTTTTTTAAACTGTTGTATTGTTTCGTATGATCAAGTAAGGATATAAAACATGAATCGTTTTCTTTACTGGCTTATCAAAATAGCAAGACAATTATTGTTTGGTTACTATATAAACAGTAAGCCAATTGTACATTTTCTATTGAAACTTTGCTTTGTGATACTTGCTAGTGAGGACAACGATTCTTACCGGGCTGCTTTACCATGGGCTTTAATCACCGAGCTGTTATGTTTGACTCCCTGAAAGTCGTACTGTGTGATGTACGGACACGCGGGGGTAACGGGCACTTGTTTCACTCACTGATAAAGTGTATGCAAATTACGGAGCGGGCAATAAAAGAGCTAATCATCAGATTGTTCATCTCAGTTTGTTTTGTGATTCCTATAGGACACATCAACATTAAAGTGGTTGTCACAGACAGGGCGATCCGTCAGTAGTTCCTATTGATTCTATTCAAAACAGGTTAAAGAACACCCCAATTCGGAAGGTTGTAGTACATTACCCACCAGATATGAGAGATTAATTATAGTGATATAATAAAATGTGGTGTTCTTGAGCATGTTTTGAATAGCATGTATATACCATGCAGTGTTTGCTCACACAACTTTCAAATTTGATGCGTTGCGTGTACCCAAACGAATCTGTACAACAATACACAGTTGTTTCAGCAATCTGTACAACATTACACAGTTGTTTCAGCAGACTTGGTGGATATAATGCTGAGACATGTCAATGTATGTGGACCTTTAAACCCTTTAGGTACATTATCTATAACACGGAAATACAAAGACACCCCAAATGACATAAATCATCATCTTTCGAATCTAAATATAAAGGTGACCCACACATTTCTTTCATACCGTATATATATATATATAGACCTGTTTAACAACTGCACTCAGTTGTGATCTGCATTGTGGTAGTAATTAGAAATTCACAAAGAATTAGCGTTGATAGATTTTTGTTACATTTGAAAATACAAATACAAATATATCTGAAAAACCACATGACATTTTGTGGTGCAGTTATCATGCAGTGTTTGCTCCGCACCACTTTGAAACATTCTGTTTCTTGTTTGTGTGTGTGAGTGCGTGCGTGCGTGCACACATATCGAGCAATTTGGATTAACTATTAAGGACATCAGGACGTTACCTGTAATCAGCGTTGCTTGACAATATTGAGCCACCTGTAATCTGGGTCGCTTGACACCAGTGTGTCACCTGTAACTATCGTTGATGTGTGTCACCTGTAATCAGCTTTTTTTGACATAGGTGTGTCACCTGTTATCAGCGTTGCTTGACATTTGTGTGTCAACTGTAATGAGCGTTGGTTTACGTCAGTGTGTCACCTGTAATCAGCTTTTTTTGACATATGTGTGTCACCTGTTATCAGCGCTGCTTGACATTTGTGTGTCAACTGTAATGAGCGTTGGTTTACGTCAGTGTGTCACCTGTAATCAGCATGGCTTGACATATGTGTGTCACCTGTAATCAGCATGACTTGACATATGTGTGTCACCTGTAATCAGCATGGCTTGACATATGTGTGTCACCTGTAATCAGCGTGGCTTGACATATGTGTGTCAGGTGTAATCAGAGTGGCTTGACATAAGTGTGTCACCTGTTATCAGAGTTGGTTTACGTCAGTGTGTCACCTGTAATCAGCTATTTTTGACATAGGTGTGTCACCTGTTATCAGCGCTGCTTGACATTTGAATTTGACGCGTTGCGTGTGCACCTCGACGAATTTGTAAAACATTACATACAGACTTCGTGGATATAATGTAAGACGAGTCAAATTTATTTGGACCTTTAAAGCCCTCAGGTACACTATCTATACAACGGATCGCTGTAGTCATTTGGAATTCACGAAGAATTAGCGTTGATGTTTTATATACGTCTCACTGCATGTACAGCATAAAATATAGACAAAATAACAAATGATCAGTAAAAGCACATGCACCATTCCTTATGGAATTATGAGAGACCTATAAATCTAAAATATATACAGGCTACTAAAAGTCACAGAAAAACATTTGCGTTTAAAGATAAATACACAAATGGCAATTTAACTTTTATACAGCAACAATCGCCTTCTAGATAGAATCAGCAATACGGTTTGGGCAACATTTCTGTTTGTCGGTAAGAAAAGAAACATCATAAATAGTACAAACATTGGAAAACAATTCTAATAACAGGAAATCGTACATCGAGCACTTAAGTAAAACATGTAATTCATCTTCAATACAGTTATCAGGGCGAGGTAGGGGGTAGGGGGTGGGGTGGATGGTGGGATGGGTGGTAGATGTAGGCGTGCGTGTGGTTGTGGGCCTGGGTGTGGTTGGGGTAGGGGGTGGGGGTGGATGGTGGGATGGGTGGTAGATGTAGGCGTGCGTGTGGTTGTGGGCCTGGGTGTGGTTGGGGTAGGGGGGTGGTGGGTGGATGGTGGGATGGGTGGTAGATGAAGGCTTGCGTGTGGTTGTGGGCCTGGGTGTGGTTGGGGTAGGGGGTGGGGGTGGTGGGTGGATGGTGGGATGGGTGGTGTGGATGTAGGCGTGCGTGTGGTTGTGGACCTGGGTGTGGTTGGGGTAGGGGGTGGTGGGTGGATGGTGGGATGGGTGGTAGATGAAGGCTTGCGTGTGGTTGTGGGCCTGGGTGTGGTTGGGGGTAGGGGGTGGGGGTGGTGGGTGGATGGTTGGATGGGTGGTAGATGTAGGCGTGCGTGTGGTTGTGGGCCTGGGTGTGGTTGGGGTAGGGGGGGGTGGTGGGTGGATGGTGGGATGGGTGGTGGATGTAGGCGTGCGTGTGGTTGTGCCTGGGTGTGGTTGGGGGGGTAGGTGGTGGGTGGATGGTGGGATGGGTGGTAGATGTAGGCGTGCGTGTGGTTGTGGGCCTGGGTGTGGTTGGGGTAGGGGGTGGGGGTGGTGGGTGGATGGTGGGATGGGTGGTAGATGTAGGCGTGCGTGTGGTTGTGGGCCTGGGTGTGGTTGGGAGTAGGGGTTGAGGGGTGGTGGGTGGATAGTGGGATGGGTGGTAGATGTAGGCGTGCGTGTGGTTGTGGAGCCTGGGTGTGGTTTGCAGTAGGGGGTAGAAGGGGGTGGTGGGTGGATGGTGGGATGGGTGGTAGATGTAGGCGTGCGTGTGGTTGTGGGCCTGGGTGTATGGTGTGGTTGGGGTAGGGGGTGGGGGTGGTGGGTGGATGGTGGGATGGAGTGGTAGATGTAGGCGTGCGTGTGGTTGTGGAGCCTGGGTGTGGTTGGGAGTAGAGAGGGTGTGGTGTGGAGCCTGGGGGTGGATGCTGGGTGGTGGGTGGATGGTGGGATGGAGGGTGGTAGATGTAGGCGTGCGTGTGGTTGTGGAGCCTGGGTGTGGTTGTGGGTAGGAGGGGGGTATGGAGTGGGGTGGTGGGTGGATGGTGGGATGGGTGGTTGATGTAGGCGTGCGTATCGTTGTAGAGGCCTGGGTGGGTGTGGTTACAGGGGTAGGGGTGGTGGATGGTGGGGTGGGTGGTAGATATAGTGCGTGCGTGTGGTTGTGGAGCCTGGGTTGTGGTTGTAGGGGTAGGGGGTAGGGGGGTGGTGGGTGGATGGTGGGGTGGGTGGTAGATGTAGGCGTGCGTATCGTTGTGGGCCTGGGTGTGGTTGGTAGGGAGTAGGGGTGGGTGGATGGTGGGGTGGGTGGTAGATGTAGGCGTGCGTAAGGTTGTGGGCCTGGGTGTAGCGACTGTCACTGCAACCTAATTATAGCTGTGCGACCAGCAGTGTGGGGCAGACATGGAACACTGTAGACTAGGTTATGTTGACCTTCGGCAGGTCAAAGGCGTGGTGTTGGTATGTAAAGCGACAGCAATATTTTATAGTATGACATGATTTCAATTACCAATTCAGATTTCTCAACATATGAAACAAATCTGAAAAATGCTGGTTATGGAGGGTTCCGGCGTCCGGCCAAACAAGGCAATATCTGTTTGATGGCATGTCTGATATCAGTGGGTATACCGTCTCACAGTCCCTGAACCACATTATTTTCCCTTCTGCCTAGCCCTCTCGGCAATGCTAAAGCCCTGAATGAAGCAAGTCTAGATTTCTCCAGGTTCAGGAATCTCTGCGGTCTCCTTTTGAATTTAAATGGGTTTGTTTTCTTACTAACAAATTTATATATTCAGAGATTAAGCGTTAACTCTAATCGGTTGGCTGCTATACCGGCTGTCGATACTTAGCATATATCTGTATTTCAGCCAACAAAGCACATAAATGTTTTAGATAATAATATCATAACCACGTGTTCCAGTAGCTTTACATCAGGAGCATGTGTTTACTATGACAACAACAACTGAGCCAAGGATAGTGTGTTACAATAGATGCAGTGCTGAGACTCATGTCTAGCTAGACACGGAGAGTCCTATAGCTGTAGACACGCCAGTCGATGTACACGTCCACATACCTTCACTCTCCTAACGGTGGACATTTCTGTCACTGAAACGGCAAGTGAAAATGAAACATATTCCCATTCAGACGAATTTATTCGTTAATGATAGAATTGATTAATATTACTGTTTATAAAATACCTGAGGGACACAACTAAGTTCAAGCTACAACATTGAACGGGTTGGGATTGTGGCACTTTAGGATACAAACAAATTCATATTTGTAATCACATTTAGAGCTCTCGCCGTGTGTGAAACAACAGTCTCCCTGCGTCCAACGGGCTTCCGTTGCCATATAAGGTTGCCATACCGAGTATCATGTACACGCACCGACAGACACAGCACGCCTTCGCTGACCTATCTATCCAACCTATAACTTGATCTCTAATCGAAACCGGCCAAGCTACATCAGCAGAAGGAGAGGGGCTAGACTAAGGCTTAGTCTCTGAATATATATAATTTTGATAGTAACAAACAAGCCCATTTAAATTGAAAAGGAACCCCAGGGAGACCAGAGATTCAGAACTTGAGGAAATCTAGACTTGCTTTATTTAGGGCTTTAGCACTGCAAAGAGAGCTTGGCAGTAGGGAAAATAATGTGGTTCAGGGACTGTGAGACAGACTAGAAATGGGCATGCGAGCAGGTCCGCGCTGAATGGACTCCTTCGGAATCCACGGTTTTCTTTGACTAATATTAGCTCGGCAGTAATCGTCTGTGCCCGGAATATGTCAGCTCTACCAACTTCATGTATACGTTGTGTTTATTCACGTCGCAAACATGACGATGGTATCTTGTAATCAGGACATCTGACTGTTTGGAAGTGTTTGTTTTTAGCATAGCATTCATGGCAGTTGTTCCAAAGCTTTTATTACTGTATGAAGAATAGGTATTTGGCATACGTTGGCTGTGTACAATATGCATAGTA